GGTATTGCCTTTGGGGTCAAAGGCTGGTTACAGCCAATCTGATCCACAGGAGGGGTATTTAAACCCAATTCTCCTCTTGCTCATTGCCCAGTCGTGGTTTCATGCCTATGGTTATCCGAGAGTGGGTTCTTGATTTTCTGGTATTTGACTTTGGCTTTGTTTTTACTTCCCTGATATCTGGTATCCTTGACTTTTGGCTTTCCCTGATTCTGTGTCCCTGACCTCGGCAAGTATTTTGACTATTCTTGGAGACGTTAAGTCCGGCCATTCTAAGGTCCGGTTATACGTTATCCTTAGTCCTAGGTGTGACATAGTACTGCGTGCTGGATCAACTTGTAATCCTGACACATGCCTTTCATCTATGTGAAACATATATATTTAAAATGACAGTCATAATGTTCACATCAGGATTTGGATTTGTGTGACGTTAATACGGTACACCAAACCCAACACAAAACAAACTGGTTATGTTCTTGTCACTTATTTGTACATCATATAATTCTGTAATGTAATATGACTGATACTTCATAGTGGGTGGTGCAATGCTATGGTAATTACCAGCCTAAGAACTGATATTAGCAGATATTGCCAAATTTCTACAGTTCTCTATCGGGAAATGTTTACAAATATTAAAGGTATAACTGCAAGTTGGCTTTATATAACATTGTGTTACACAGTGGCCCTATACGTTATTTAACTTTATAATGTGCCATTTGTAATGTGATTCTTTCCAAAGTCTAATAAAAGCAATATTAAATAACAATGGGAATGAAGAACATAAAGAAATTATCTATATTTCTCAGTCCTAGAATTTCCAAGCCAAAGTATAACTCAAAAGAAAAATGTGTTTTCATTTTGTTACACCTTATGTAATTCAGTGTAAAATAATTTCTATAATGTTTAACTGTTTCCATACTACAGTCCTAGTATAATCATGAAATGGAAGAGCTAAAATATGTAAGACTCTTCTTGGTAAAACGTGCACAGCACATTTCATCAGGGTGAATACCCTTACTCACTGATTATTTACTCATTAGGAACATTTCTATTTATTCATCATTCTAACCAGCTTAATAAAAAATATATATATATATGTAATGAATACATATGATACCGCACTCAGTTGTAGATATAAAGCAAAAATATATATTTATTATTCTGCCTATTATAAGTCAGATATCTCTTAAACTCAGTGAGAATAAACAAATATGGCAAAAAACTGATTGTTACATAAAGTTATATCCTATATGGACACAACAATGTAACACCTTAGGTGATATGCCTTAACAAAATGGAATAAAATATCCCTAATTTATATGCTGACTCAATAACCAGTGTTGTAGTATAAACAGACACTATGTGGATAAGAGCCTTGTCTGCAACCAACAATTGTTGTCTGAATTGAAAAGCAAAAAAAAAAAAATACAAGGAAAAATGTGAAAAAAAATGTGAAAAAATGTACATACAGTTCCAGTGTGTACACACTAAAAATTACAAAAACATGCATCCATAAGTGGATACTCTTGGATAGATCTCACCACTACTGATGCTGTAGAAAGTCCTGAGTGTAGTAAAGTTGCTGAATCTTGGTATAGTGGCTTGTCCAAGTGTGTTTAGATGAGCGTTCCTGCGTGTATCCGGGTGATTGCAGATGCATGGCTGTCAAAGTCAGTCTCTGGTTGATTGCCTTGAATCTCGGCTATCAATAGGGTGCCTGGGCTGTGCACTTCGGACTTGATTCGTCCCTTCGAAGGCCCTGGTGGATTAAAAATAGAAACGGCTATTTATTGCCTCAAATTGGCATGCCTGCCTATCTCCACGGGTCGCGCCTCTCACACGTCACACAGTGTGCGTCTTAGTGCACACGCGTGCTTGTTCAATCCAACATCTGGGTCTGAGTACACATTATGTGTTACTTGATGTCCATTGATGCTCCTGTGATGACGTGTTCCAATTCTGTTGCCAAAAAGATCACAATAACTTTATTAGCTAACTAGTAGGCTAAACAGATGGTGCAGGGATCACAACAACTTTATTAGCTAACTAATGTGTGTCTATGGGGGGCAGTGTGTGTGTATAGGGGGCAGTGTGTGTGTGTGTGTGTGTGGGGGGCAATGTATTGTGTCTATGGGGGCAGTGTGTATGGGGGGCGGTGTGTGTGTATGGGGCAAGTGTGTGTGTATGGGGGGCAGTGTGTGTGTATGGGGGCAGTGTGTGTGTGTGTGTATGGGGCAGTGTGTGTGTGTGGGGGCAGTGTGTGTATGGGGGCAGTGTGTGGGACAGTGTGTGTGTGTATGGGAGGCTGTATGTGGGGCAGTGTGTGTGTATGGGCTGTATGGGGGCAGTGTGTGTGTGTGTGTATGGGCTGTATGGGGGCAGTGTGTGTGTGTGTATGGGAGCAGTGTGTGTGTATGGGGGGCAGTGTGTGTATGGGGGGCAATGTGTGTGTATGGGGGGCAGTGTGTGTGTATGGGGGGCAGTGTGTGTGTATGGGGGGCAGTGTGTGTTATGGGGGCAGTGTGTGTGTATGGGGGGCAATGTGTCTGTATGGAGCAGTATGTGACCCCCAGCCTACCTGTCACTGGAAGATGTTGCTGGGGGTCAGGCAGCCATCTTCTGCAGCAGCATGGTCTGCTGCATTACGGCGGGGGCGGGGCTTATCGGCGGGAGGCGGGGCTTCGTTTGGGGGCGGGGCCTTGCCGGGGAGCCAATCAGTGTTCCCTCAGCCCCCAGCACCTCTCTCCTGCATTCCCTCGGGCTGTTACAGTCCGAGGGAAGCAGATGGCCAAGTAGCTGGCATTTGGGGGGGCCAAGGGGGGGCACAGCATGATGTAGGGGGGGGGCCATGGCCCCCTCTGGCCCCCCCCTAGCGACGCCACTGGGCAGTTGTCCTCCCATTCCTTTTAAGGAATAAAGAGTTGATTTATATACTTTTCCATAACTGGCCCCGCCTCCTGGTCAGAGATC